GCCGTTTCCGTGGCAACGAGTCCCTCTTGCGCATGCGTGAAGGATCCAGGGCTTCCGGGGTGGGAGGTGATTAAGAGGATGAGAGGGCCAGGACGCGCCCAACATGGCGACCGCGGGTCTTAGTCCGCCATATTGGATGTGGCGAAGCCATTCACACAGCACAAAACACGGCGTGACCTCTTCAACATGGCTGCCGCGCGGGGGGGGGGTGCGCCCGCCATATTGAGTGTGGCAGGCTTCCTCTTGGCTCCAAAGTTCATTTTAAAGCCGATTTTTCTGCCTTCGGAGGTGCTTTTCGAGCCCAGGCTTTCTGGGCGCCGCCCACCCAACTTTAACCGTCTCAAGGTGAAAAGATCTGCTTGGAAAACGAGGACTCAAAGCTATTCTGCATTGCTCCAGCTGCCTGCTCCCTTTTAATTGCATTTCTGGTCATTATGGTTTTATTGCTTTATTGCATGTAGCTGTGCATCTGCACTGGGTTGCGGGGGTGGGGGGGGAGAGGGGTTAAACTTGCAGTGTTTCTCAACCTTGACAATTTTAAGGCATGTGGACTTCAACTCCCAGAATTCCACAGCCAGCAATGCTGGCTGTGGAATTCTGGGAGTTGAAGTCCACATGCCTTAAAATTGTCAAGGTTGAGAAACACTGGGTTAAAGGCTGTGGAATCTCTCTCTCTCTCTTTTTTTTTTGGCTTATCTTCGAAGTTGCATTTTTCTTCCCCAGTCTCTTTGGGCCCTTTCTTCTCCAGAGGTGCCGGACTCCAATGCCCATCATGCTGCGCAGCCTGGGAAGATGGAAAATTTTGCACATCTGAATAAATTAGCAAGGCTTGCCAACCTGCTTGCAGGTAGTCCTCGACTCACGACCACAGTTGGGATGGGAACCTCTGTTCCCTAAGTGAGGCAGTTGTTAAGCGAGTCATATCCAATTTATGACCTTTTTTTGCTGCGGTTGTTAAATGAATCACAGCAGTTGGTAAGTGAATCTGGCTTCCCACAATTACTTTGCTTGCTGGAAGGTTGTTTGTGTTGAAGAAAAAGTCTTCATCAGGGTTCGGCCCAAGCCGGGAATAAACAAATATGGAGACTGCTTTAGAAAGAAGGTTGCAGTTTATTGAAGAGGAGAGCCAGACAGAAAGATGGCTCTGGAAGAAAAGAGAGCAAGAGCACATGTAGGAAGTGGGTTTTTATACCCTCTGGAGCCTTTTGTTTGGAGTTGTTCCTGTGGCATGAACTGAGTCTGAGTGTGCCTTTCTGGTATTCTGATGGTGGTGGGTTAATCCTATTATGTCCCAAAGATCAATCCTGCTTCCCTGGGGCTGTGGCTGATGACTCTTAAGATTTTTGGTGTGTTGATTCTAGGGATCTTTCTTCCTAATCCCAGTTTCCTGACTCCAGTCTTTCTGACAAGATGATCACATCTGCAATTCTGCAGACTTGGTTCCTGTTTGGGACAGAGAGACTTGGGGGCGTGGTTCGTTTCTGCTTTTAAAATCCTTTAGGGAAATATACTCTGCCTTTTAAACGTTTCCAAAAATATTTCTTTTTCTGGGGGGGGAGGGGCTGACTTCCCACAAATGTAAGCTGCCCAGGGTCACTGAGATTGGGAAGGGCCAAATAAATTCAATCGATCGATCTGTTGGGAGAATTTCCCAGGGTTCCTTCCGCACGGGGAGCCTTAGCGGTCTCCCTGGGAAGCATAAGCATCCATAAAATCAAGACCCAGAGGCTGGCTGCTTGGGAAGGGGGTCTCTGGGGGGTGGTCCTTGGTGTTCTCTGAGCTTTCGTTCATTCATTTAATCAGAATAGAGCTGGAAGGGACCTTGGAGACCATCTAGTCCAGCCCCATGCTCAAGCAGAAGACCCTGTACCATTGCTTGGAGGTCTCCACTGTTTCATCCAAAAACAACACAGGTAGTCCTCGACTTACAACCACAATTGAGCCCAACATTTCTGTTGTTAAGTGAGACGTTTGTTAAGTGAGTTTTGACCCATTTTACAATTTTTCTTGCCACAGTTGGCTGAGGAATTCTGGGAGTTAAAAGTCCACAAGTCACAAAAGGGCCACGTTTGAAGACCCCTGATCTACAATATCATACACCAGGAACAATATACATACACGTGTTAATACAGCAGTCTCCAACACACAACAGTTAACAGCAGGAAACAGAAGAGAGGAGCACACATCTGTGGAGCCTTCCTTTTTATACAAAGCTCTTAAAAGGACACAGACCCAGCTGGCTCTTAAAGGGACACAGACCCTGCTGAGTCATTCTCATCATTATATCATACATCTCACATTACATCAGCTGGTTAGTTTCTAAATCATTACCTTGACAGCTGTGCTTCCCCCCCTCTCCCCCACCCCCCTTTGGGCAGATGCAGGACTGACCTGGTTTCATTTTTCCCGGTGGTGATCCAGACTGCAGGCCTCAAGGCAGGAACCTCGGATGGCGCAGGAAAGACGGAGGTCCGTTGGGCTGCCCGCCCCGTGCATCCTGGGCATCGATCTGGGCACCACATCCGTAAAAGTGGTCCTGGTGGAAAAAATGAATAAGGTCCCCACCCTGGTTGCCAGCTGCACCAAGCCGGTGCAGGCCGATGTGCGCATCAAAGAGGCTCAGTTGCGGGTAAGGTGAATAGAGAATAGAGTTTGATGGGACCTTGGAGGTTATCTAGTCCAACCACCTCCTCAAGCAGGAGAACCTATACCATTTCAGATAAGTGACTGTCTAGTCTCTTCTTCAAAACCTCCAGTGATGTGGTGCCCACAACTTCTGGAGGCAAGCTGTTCCACTGGTTAATTGTCCTCACTGTTAGGAAGTTTCTCCTTAGTTCCAGGTTGCTTCTCTCCTGGATTAGTTTCCATCCGTTGCTTCTTGTCCAGCTTTCATCTGCTTTGGAGAATAGATAGATCCTCTCTTCTTTGTGGCAGCCCCTCAAATACTGGAATACTGCTATCATGTCCCCCCTAGTCCTCAGAATAGAGTAGACTAGACTAGACTAGACTAGACTAGAATAGAATAGAATAGAATAGAATAGAATAGAATAGAATAGAATAGAATAGAATAGAATAGAATAGAAAATATGGAATGGAATGGAATGGAATAGAATAGAATAGAATAGAATAGAATAGAATAGAATAGAATAGAATAGAATAGAATAGAATAGAATAGAATAGAATAGAAATTAAACAGAATAGAATATAGAAATAGAATATAGAAATAGAATATAGAAATAGAATAGAATAGAATAGGGATTAAACAGAATAGAATATAGAAATAGAATATAGAAATAGAATAGAATAGGAATTAAACAATAGAATATAGAAATAGAATATAGAAATAGAATATAGAAATAGAATATAGAAATAGAATAGAATAGAATAGAAATTAAACAATAGAATATAGAAATAGAATAGAATAGGAATTATACAATAGAATATAGAAATAGAATATAGAATATAGAAATAGAATAGAATAGAATAGAATAGGAATTAAATAGAATAGAATATAGAAATAGAATATAAAATATAGAAATAGAATAGAATAGAACAGAACAGAACAGAATAGAATAGAATAGAATAGAATCTGGAAGGGACCTTGGAGGTCTTCTAGTCCAGCCCCCCTGCTCAAGGAGGAGAACCTATAATATCTCAGGCAAGTGACTGTCCAGTCTCTTCTTAAAAACCTCCAGTGATGGAGCACCCACAACTTCTGGTGGCAAGCTGTTCCACTGATTAATTGTCCTCACTGTCAGGAACTTTCTCTTTAATTCCAGGTTGTTTCTCTCCTTGATTATTTTCCATCCATTGCTTCTTGTCCTGCCCTCTGATGCTTTGGAGAATAATTTGGCTCTGTCCTCCTTGTCGCGGCCTCTCAAATCCTGGAATGCTGCTATCATGTCATCATGTTTGAATAACCGGTGGGAAAAAACACCCACCCAAGAAAGACTCTTGAGTTGTCTTTCTCGTGCGTAAAACATTCATTCTCTCTTCTCGTTTGTCCCAAAGGGGCTTTTTCCAGAGGCTACTGGACTTTCTTGTTTTCCCTTCTCCTCCAAGAAGCTTCCTCAGTTCTGACTGGGATGGTGGGGAATGGAAGGATTTATGCTCCTTGCAAACAGCTGGTCCTTTGCCTTCTTTTAGAGAGTCGTTGAGGCCACCTGGAGGTTTACCTGTGTCCTCAGGGTCACCTGAGTGGTACAAATGGGTGTGGAGCCTTCTCGGCTGCAGGATGTTTTCTGTTGAAGACAGGCACATAGGCTGTTGCGGACGAGTCTGTTTCTTCTCCTTTATTTTTCCCCAATGTATTCTTTCTCCCACCTAGAGGAAGTGAGGTAAGCGTCATCTCAATTTAAATAAATAAATGAATTCTTTCTTTCTCTCACAGGAGAACGAGCAGGATGTCCACAGAATCATTGAAGCTTTGAACAGTTGCCTAGTGTCTTTTTCTCCGGCTTTTGTGGAAAGAGTTTGCTGCATTGGCGTTTCTGGACAGATGCACGGGGTGATGTTTTGGGAAGCCGGGAAAGGTAAGATTTAGAACACAGAAAGCAGAATAACACGGTTAGGAGGGACTTGGGAAGTCTTCTAATCCAATCTAGAATAGAATAGAATAGAATAGAATAGAATAGAATAGAATAGAATAGAATAGAATAGCATAATGAATAGAGTAATAATAGAATAGAATAGAATAGAATAGAATAGAATAGAATAGAATAGCATAATGAATAGAGTAATAATAGAATAGAATAGAATAGAATAGAATAGAATAGAATAGAATAGAATAGAATAGAATAGAATCAACCTGGCTTATTTATTCATTTGAAAAAAAAACACTCTTCATTTTTTTTAAAAAAAAACACGTATTTATGTTTTAAGAACTATCAATAGTTCTTTCTAAAGTCAGTGCTACGCGGATTTTGTGTTCCGTCAAAGGGAAGAAAAGGGTTGCGTTTTAAATTGTATTTTATTTTGATTTTGATTTAAATTAATGTATTTCCGTTCAATTCACCTCTGTTACTCAGTGGATCCGTTGTTAAATGAATCTCGCCCCGTTTTATGATGTTTCTTGCCACGGTTGTTAAGTGAATCAGTGCAGTTAAGTCAGTTGTTAAGTGAAACCGGCTTCCCCCATAGACTTTGCTTATCAGAAGGTCATAAAAGGGAATCACGTGACACCCCCGGGACACTGCAACCGTCATAAGTACGAGTCGGTTGCCAGATGTCTAAATTTTGATCACGTGACCACGGAAATGCGGCAACGGTTGTGTGAGAAAAATGGCCATAAGTCGTTTTTTTTGGTGCTGTTGTAACTTTAAATGGTCACTAAACGAATCTGTTGTAAGTCAAGGACTGTTTAGTGCTACACAGGGGCCTTTGTGTGTCAAGGACGGCCGATAGAATTCCAAGCATGGTTGTGGTCACCAGGTTGCACATGGACCGAAAATGGAGGCCGGTGGACTTTTCAGCCGGACAAAGCCAGTCAGCTGATCACCTGGCAAGATGGCCGCTGCAGCCCCCAATTCCTGTCTTCCCTCCCTGTGCCTCAGTCGCACCTCAGCGTGGCTTCTGGGTACGGCTGTGCCACCATCTTCTGGCTCTTAAAGAACAGGTAACTCTGCGGCCTAGTGGACCATCGCTTAAACAGGAGCCAGCCGTGTGTTGCAGCTTCCAAAAAGGCCAACACAGTGCTAGCAAATATTTATACTATTATTTCAAGTAAATTCAATCTACTTCATATACACAAAGTCCAGTAATCCAAACAGGGATGTTAGATCACACCAAGCATAACATGAAACATAATGGTAGGGTCTTTTTTAGTACAATTCCCGGAAAACAATATAAAAAAATAAAAGCAATACAAAAAAAAGCTAGGTATAAAAACAATATTTTAAAAACCCATATGATAAAAGCAAGGTTCTACATATAGGCAAGAAAAACCAAATGCACAAGTACAGCATAGGTGGCACCTTGCTCAATAGTAGTAACTGTGAGAGGGACCTAGGAGTCCTAGTGGACAATCACCTATATATGAGCCAGCTGTGTGCTGCAGCTGCCAAAAAGGCCAACACAGTGCTAGGCTGCATTAACAGAGGGATAGAATCAAGATCACGTGAAGTATTAATACCACTTTACAAGGCCTTGCTAAGGCCACACTTGGAATACTGCATCCAGTTTTGGTCACAACGATGTAAAAAAGATGCTGAGACTCTAGAAAGAGTGCAGAGAAGAGCAATAAAGATGATCAGGGGACTGGAGGCTAAAACATATAAGGAACGGTTGCTGGAATTGAGTATGTCTAGTTTAATGAAGAGAAGGACGAGGGGGGACATGATAGCAGTGTTCCAG